CAGCAGCTGTCAAGAGGCCTTCGAAAATCTCAAGACTGCTTTCACTTCTGCGCCGATACTGGCCCATTGGGAGCCGGATCGCCCACTTATCGTGGAAACCGACGCTTCCGATTATGCCATTGCGGCTATTCTTTCCATCCAATATGCTGACGGTGAAATTCATCCTCTAGCCTTCCTTTCAAGAACGCTTCATGCGGCGGAACTCAACTACGATACCCACGACAAAGAGCTACTGGCCATCTTTGAGGCCTTTAAAGCTTGGCGTCACTATCTGGAAGGCTCGGGTGATCCGGTGGACGTCGTCACCGATCACAAGAATCTTGAGTATTTCTCTACTACCAAGGTTCTTACACGCCGACAGGTCCGATGGTCAGAATTTTTACACCAATTTAATATGGTCATTCGCTTCCGGCCGGGGAAACTCGGCGAGAAACCCAACTCGATAACTAGACGCTGGGACGTCTACCCTAAAGAGGGGGATATCGGCTACGCCCAAGTGAACCCTCATAACTTTCGTCCTATCTTTACTAACGAACAACTCACTGCGTCTCTTCGAGCTACCTTCTTGGAAGGTCTGGCTTTACGAGCCTCGATTATCATGGATATCGAAGCCCTACACCAAGCAATCATCCTCGCCCTTCCCGCCGATCCGAGCTCCGTTGTTGGTTTGGAACTTGCAAAAGATCCTTCCAAGGAATGTTGGAGCTTAGGTAGTGACAAGCTACTACGCCTTGACGACCGTATTTATGTTCCTAATCACGGCGACCTTCGCCTTCAAGTCCTTCGCTATTTCCATGATCACCCACTTTCCGGCCATTTCGGCCAGAACCGCACTCTCGAAGCTGTACGTCGTCAATACACCTGGCCCAAGGTCAGAGACTTTGTTCGTGACTACGTTACCTCTTGCACTATCTGTGGTCGCAATAAGCCTCGTCGTCACCGGCCTTACGGCTTGTTGAAACCTCTGCCGGTTCCGGTCCGACCATGGGATTCCATCTCCATGGACTTCATTGAGCAACTGCCAATGTCGAATGGTTACACCGCTATCCTAGTCATTGTGGATCGATCTTCCAAACAAGCTATATTTATTCCAACTCACGACACCATTACTTCCGAACAACTAGCTGAGCTTTTTGTTATTCACGTCTTCTCTAAGCATGGTGTTCCTAATCATGTTACTTCCGATCGTGGTTCCGAATTTGTTTCAGCGTTCTTCCGGGCTCTCGGTAAAGCGCTCTCCATGGAACTTCACTATACCTCTGGATACCATCCGGAAGCCGATGGGCAAACTGAGCGTGTCAATCAGACTCTCGAACAGTACATCAGGATCTATTGTTCCTACCAACAAGATGACTGGTCGCCTTTACTTCCGATCGCCGAGTTCGCCTATAACAACACTCCCAATGCTTCCACTGGTATTACTCCATTCTTCGCTAACAAAGGATACCACCCAAACATCACCGTTCGGCCCGAGGTCGACATGAAGTCTGATCTAGCCAGAGACTTCGTCGTCAATCTCAATGAACTCCACGTCTTCCTTCGAGAGGAAATCCTTCTAGCTCAATCTCGTTACAAGGAACAAGCTGACAGGAAAAGAATCTCGCACCCGGAGTTCCCGATCGGCTCCGAAGTTTTTGTTCTTGCTAAGCACATTCGTTCTACTCGTCCTACTGAAAAATTCTCAGAAAAATATCTTGGTCCTTTCAAGGTCATCAGTCGACCTGGTACTTTGTCTTACGAGCTCAAGCTCCCAGACTACCTTCGCCGAATTCATCCGGTTTTCCACGTCTCACAGCTGGAGCCGGTTACGCCGAATCCATTCCCAAATCGTACTCAATCTCCTCCACCTCCAATTGAAGTTGATGGTGAAGAGGAGTACAACGTTGCCGAAATCCTCGACTCCAAGCTGGACAGAAGGTACAAACGTTGTCCTCTACGTTATTACATTCGGTGGGCCGGTTATGAAGGTACCGACGATGAATTCTCCTGGGTAGCTGCTGATGAATTACATGCTGATGAACTGGTACCCGCATTCCACGCTCGATACCCTTTGAAACCTGGACCTTGATCACACAAAAACATTTTATTCCTTTCCCCCGCTTCCGCCGTGCTCCGCCGAAGTTTACTTCGTGTGTTTAGAGGGTAAACACGATGATAGTAAATTGAGTGTTTACCTCTCTCTCTTATTTGCTTATTATAGTTCCTTTAATCACAGTTTTCATTTAGCTTCCATTTACACTTACACTACTTATACTAAACTAATTTACTTCTTACGCCGCTTCGCGGCCCGTTCGCTTCTCAATCTCAAAAAATTGCGTCGATATTTTTTTATATACAAGTCCAAGAAACAAAACGATACAACGAGGGCAGGGTTACAAGAAGATTACAAGAAGAGGGCCGAAGGGCCGATGTCCGATGTCCGTAGATACTCTACTCCGCCCTTTCCTTCCCCTTCTCCGACTGCGCCTTAGCCGGCGCCGGTTCCTCCTCCACCATCTCTTCTTCATCTCCTTCCCCATCTTCCTCCATTCCCATTTCCTCCACCTCTTTCTCTCTCTCGCGATCTTCTTCTTCATCGCTGTCCATTACCCTTCTCCGCTTCTTCGGCAATTCCGACGGTCCGGCCTGCGGCATTTCCGGGGGTGTTCTCCTCCTCCTCGCGGCATCTGTTACTAGCCAATCCAGCTTCCGGTTCATGTGTCGATGGTAGGTGTTGGCTTTCACCTGCCCATCCCGAAGTTGTCGGTTGTCCGCTAGTAGTTGAGCCACCTGGCTCTCCAAGACAGCCAGGCGCTCGCCGGTCGGGTTGGAACCACCCTCTCGCTTCACAGTCGACGGCCGTCCGGAGTACGAACACCGTACTTTCGCATCGTGGCAGGGTTTACAAATGATGGAACTTCTCTTGCCAGCCTGCATCTGGCAAGAGATCTTCTTGGTCCTGCACCGTTCGCAGGGTTCCTTCTCGTCGTCGTCGTCGTCGCCGTCGTCCGGGTCTTCGTCTACGGGCTAGCAGGAGCAGGTCAGACAATTACCTGGTTGTAGAAAAAGAAGTACGCACCTGGGCCTTGGCCTTGCCTTTTCCCTTGCTCTTCTTCGAAATTTCCACCACGGGCCTCCGCGGCGAAACCGACACCTCACTTGGGGAGGTCCCCCTCTGACTTCGAGCTGTCGCCGCCGCGGCCAACAGCCTCCTCCTCCTGTTGTTGCGCCCGTCGGGCTCGCTCCCGCGCCTCCTTCGCAGCTTTCTCTTGAGCCGCTGCTGCTCTTGCGGCCTTTTCTTCCGCGGCCTTCTTCGCCGCCTCCGCCGCTTTCCGCGCCCTCACTCTCTCCACGCGTGCCTGCGCCCTCCGGATAATCTCATCCTCATCCTCATCCTCCAGATCCTCCTCCTCGTGGGCGGTAAGGTCAATGGGCGGGGGCGGGACAGGGCGCGACCTCGAAGGACCGGCGGTCGAAGGGTTGGTAGTAATGGTGGTGGTGCGACTAGTGGACATGGTTGACTTAGAAGTTTTTTGGGAACTTGGGTCTTATCGGCGAAACTCTGGACTCTTTATACGGCAAAACTGCGCACGGACCAGCGAAAATTTTTCTTCGAATTGTACTGGGTGTACGGTGAACCGCGCCAATTCCCGGTACTAACGGCTTTCAAAATTTTCCTGCTGACTGATGGGTCAAATTCCCGATGCTGACGGCCTTTAAAAAATTTTCTTTGGTGACTAACCAACTCCCGGTATTGATGGCTTTCGAGGGCTCAAGCCTAAGAGGGGGATACTGTCAAGTCCATGCCGCGGGCCTCCATTCCGCCGCTCGGTACTCCGAAGATCTGCTCTTTATTGTAATCTCTCTCCTATTGTTCTTTCTCGCTACACATATCCTTTCATTCTAGTCTCTCATTATTGTCTTTTACTCTTTCGTTCTAGTCTCTCCTTATTGTCTTTTACTCTACCCTGCAGGTACTACTCGTATAGCTCCTAGTAGTTAGTCTAGCGCTCCGCACCGATGCGCCGTTCCGTAGATATAAATACTGCCTGTACGCTACTGTAGTTCCTCAGTTTAATTATCGACTTAGATTCCCTCTTACACTCTGTGCTCTCTAAGTCTTTAGGCTCAACGCCTTGAAGTACTCTCTACGCTACCTTAGGACTAGACGTCCTCTGGCTCGCTCCTCGTTACCGGCGATACCGCCGCTCCGACTTGGCTGCTTCTCAGTTCCTCCCTTCTCACTCTCGATCTCCGGGGACTAACGGCGTAACGGCGGTGTTGTTAATAACTTCACTACTGTCCCACTCGTCTTCCGCACTTAGACACCTTGTGGCTTTGGCACGGTTACACGGTGTACATGATCTTAACAGATTGTTACTAACTGCTCATGTAGTTGGCAAACCTATTGAAGCAAACCTCGCGCTCGGCATCATCTCCGCAGGCCAGAAATATGAACACTGGCTCTTGGCTATAGGCAATGATCAAGCTGGGAGTGAACTGCTGTCTGCAGTAGTCAAATTTGACAAACACGGCAACACACTGCCTGTGGAATACTTGATTGCTCGTAAGTCAAACCGTCAAAAGTTTGCAGATTACAACCCTGCGCCGGAAGTGGTCCAACTTGGCAAGGCGAGCTTCAAAGATGAAAAGGAGAAAGAAAATGTTGTCAAAGATATCCTTGCCATAGAGATCGACGTGCCTAGCAATCAAAAGGGGGGAAACTGTATGGATTTTATCAAGTCAAAAATCAATCTTTGAATCCGCTAGCTTTGCAACAAGCATAATACTGATCACCCTTACTCACTCCTAAAATATATATCTAATATCTGAACATCAATCTTTGAATCTTTTAATCTTTTGATTTATTTGTTTCATGATGAGTTATAACCCTGAGTAACTACGGTGTCAATACTAGTATCATATTTTCAAGAGTCATCAAGTAGGCCTCATGTATAAAGGACATCGAAATTCTCTCAACTATCTGGGCTCACTAATTCCCTCACACATTTGTGTCTGATATGGAGATGGATTCAACTTTGGGTGAGTGAATCATCTGTGTTCTTAAATTCTATTCAGCTATAACGTATGTAGGCTTCCTTGAAATTGGTGTCTTGGTTTCTGGCATCTTGTTTGGGATATTTACAATGCAGGTGTACATCTATCACAAAAATTTTTCAAAGGATCCGGGCTGGACTAAATATGGCTTGGTGGGTCACTTAAAATTATGGATAATTATTTCTGTTCTAATTTTTTATTTTTGCACAGGCATGTGGTATGTAATTGTATTGATTCATTAATGCAACCTCATCACATGAAGCTGGTTGTGTGCCCACATAGGCTGTTAGAGCTGGCTCATACCATCTGTGAATTTGAAGCACTTTACTATTTCAGTGTATCCCATTATGGGGATCCCACAGCATTTCTTATTTATCCCACTCCCTTTGTTGCTGTGACAGTTTTTGATGCATTGATTGCAACACTTGGTGAGCATTATTTTATACAGCCACTGAGTTGTAACACTTTTAACCCTCTCTAACTAACAGCTCAAGGATATTTTACATACCGAATCACCAAATTGACGGGTCCCCCTTATGTTGTTCCCATCCTCTGTTGCATTCTCATGGTTTGCCATTCCGTGAATGACATTGGATTGACAGTGGAATGCTCAGTCACTGCAACAAAAAGCCTTGAATTGTACCTTCATCAATTTAAATGGATGATAATCACTTCAGTTGTGATTCGGGTTGCAACAGACATTGTTATCTCTACAGCTCTTGTATACTATCTGCACAAAAGTCGGAGCAATGCCCTTCATAGGTCAGAGGAAATTATCTTATTACCCATAAATATTGGCCACTCAATTAATTACTCAACCCACAAGTTCAATGGTCATTGTTGACAAATTGATGCAATGGGCTATTGGTGAGGCTCTTCCTTGTTTCATTTACATCTATTGACTACTAAATTCTGCTCAAATCATCTTCAGAAACAGGAATTGTGACTAGGTATGCAACATTTCTTCCAAATTAGATTTGGAAATTGATTATCACAATAAAAAAGCATGGTCAACATTCTTCTAATGATATGTGTAAGCGTTGGATTTTGATTTTCTCAAAATTCAGCTGTAATCTCAAATATTAATTAGCTCTTGATAAATGTGAACAACTGTAAGTTGTTTTTCATTATCATAGACTCTATGGCTTGCCTGAACTCTGAAAATAGACCTATGGGTTGCATTTTATGTCATTCTCCCCAAAGGTAAACTACTTCACAAATCATATCCCAGTATAAATGAATTAAAATTCTCCATAGTCTTTTCCAATGCAATGTTGGCAAAGTACATTCATCAGAATAATGTCTCATGTTGCAGATCTAATGAGCATTGCATTTAGCTTAAATTCAAGGATGAAGTTCCGCAACATGCAGACAATTGTGGTTGGTGAGATGGTAACAGTTCCCGTGAGTGCTGTCCACTATTTCTTCTGGTCTATACAGTGAATTCTACATTTGCTGGGATTTAAGTCCTCCGGCACAAGCACACAAGGAACCTCAGAATTACAAACAAATTTATCCAAGATTGCTACTATCCATGGTGAATCAATGACTGAGGAAGGCCATCAGTTTGCCGTATAAGCATTGAGTCAATCAATGATTAATACTCATGATCATTTTTCATTGTGGTCGCACTTTCCGTTCTTACGGTGGATAATATTAACCACTTTCATATTCTTTCCATCTCCACCTCAATTTTCTTTATTTATGAACATTTATACCCTACATCAAACATAAAGCAGAATGTTTGTTCTCATTCCTCTTCAACTGGTTATGTGTTCAACACACATTTTTAGTTTCTATTATTTATGTACCCGCAAGTCTTTCCTCCACCTTCCTCTACCATTACATACCCTTCAAACCTACCAACATAGTGAACTAAGGTCCTGCAAACATGCGCGCTAACTTGGGTAAAGTAAGCAATCAGGGGCTCTTGAGATTTGTTTCAATACTTCCCTTCCATTCTTGAAGCAACTGTTATGCCTTTGCCGCTCTTAGATCCATTACCTGACCGAATCTATCCGCTGCTGTGGGGCAGGAACTGCCGCCGACACAGAATTCGTCACTAACTTGATATCCTCAAACATGGAAATGCACGCTCTCACTCACGGACGCAAGCCTCGAGTAGTCACTGCTATGACAATGCTCAAGCAGTATCTTTTCCGGTGAGTGCCGATCTCATACTCCTATATCGCCTGCTTCCAGCTTATGATGATGTCTAGATACCAAGGTCAAGTCGGTGCTGCTCTCGTACTTGGAGGCGTAGACTCTACAGGCCCAAATTTATTCACTATTGCCCCTCATGGATCAACGGACAAGCTTCCCTACGTGACTATGGGCTCTGGTAGTCTGGCTGCGATGGCTGTCTTCGAGAGTAATTGGCGGGCGAACATGTCTGTGCGTAGACTTGCTTCCTTCATCTGCAAAACCTGTATGTTCGCCAGAGCAAGGGTACTGGCTGGAGAGCGCTCTCCAGCACCCAAAGCACCGAGAGCAAAATTTCAACCTTGCTCTGGGTGCTTTGGCTGCTGGGAAGCGCTCTCAGCTGCTTTCGGAGAATTAGCCGAAAAAACAGGTTTTGCAGATGTTTCCTAGATCTGGTTCAGCTTATCCACTTTATATGTTCGTTAGCGTGCTGATGCTCTTCAGCTCGTCAAAGACGCGATATCTGCCGGTATCTTCAACGATCTCGGATCCGGATCCAATGTCGACGCGTGCATCATCAGGTCATACTGGACCTCTGATCTTCGTGGATCATTTATCAATGGCGTAGACACTGATATGAATACTGATTGCTTTATTCTTCATTCATCTCGCTTGTAAAGGGCCATTAGCATTTGCCGTAACTATGCACGGACCTTCGCGCGGAACTTGCACGGATCACTTACCCAGCAAAGTATAACTTCAATAAATACTTTTTGAAGAGTTTACTGATACTGATTCCATTTGAACAAATCATTGAATCCTAGTCAATATCATAAATTGTATGCAAAACCAACTCTAGAAGCATTGCACTTTTATCTACTTTACTCTTACCATCTTATACTTTTGATGAGCAGGCCATTTTACCTAGTCTCAGCAATGGGAGCACACTGATTGTTTAGGTATGTTGAATGAATCCTTCCAACCTTTCAATTATCTATAAATGACAACAAATGCTTGATCCTCAGTTATTAGACATAATGGGCAATGACTACAGGCCTTGACAACACTGTGTGATATTGGGAGGTGAAAGAGGTCTCTTCATTGAGACTGTTGGGTCAAACAATAGACTGGCTGTCACGAAGCGGCAGAGGCGGAGTGACTAACGGAGCGGGAAAGCGGAGTGACTAAGCAGAACGGTGAGGCGGAGCAACTGGACAAGGCAACAAGGCGGAGCGACTAAGCAGAACGGCGGCAGGCTGGTCCCAGATAATGACAGAGATATATTGAGTATCGTAGTCATAGGTAATAATAAGTAAGCACATACCTGGTCCCAGATAATGACAGAGAGGTCAAGATAAGGGACCAGGCTGTGGAGGGTTGGCTATATATACATAATCCGGTCTGCGAGAAACAACGATGTAATACTGTACAGTTTAGGAACAAGGAAGGTGGCGGAAGCCAGTAGAAGGAGAAGATGGGTCAGGTGGATCAGTAATCGATGGGGGTTTGACAGTGATGGGATGATGTATTGTACAAGTAAAGGCGTCGAGACGGTGAGAAAAGGAAAATGCTAGGGGCTGCGTACTTTATGACATTACCCCCCTCCTTATGACCATTGCCCTCGATGGTCAAGGCTTTGCCGCTGTTGGGTGTTTTTTATGAAAGGCCCGAACAATTTTTGGTGCTTGATTGAGGTTGGCTGCGGGTTCCCAAGAGTTGTGCCCTGCGTCGTAACCTTTCCACTTAACCAAATATTCCAACTTCTTCCATCGAACCCGGCTGTCTAAGATCTCCTCTACTTTGTATTCCGGTTCGTCTTCATCCTCTAAGTATACCGGCTCTGGTGGTGTTGGTATTTCGCCATTAATGGAGTTACCTTTCCAGGGGTATAGTTTATCAACATGGAAGACGGGATGGAGGCGATCTAGGGATAGGGGAAGGTCAAGGCGGTAGTCTAAAGGGCCAATTTTCTCCAGAATGTGATAAGGGCCAAGCTGTCGATCTCCTAACTTTTCACTGGAAAGCTGAAGGTTAATGTCCTCTGCACTGAGCCAGACTAGGTCTCCAACTTTAAATTGATGAGCTTTCCGCTTTCCGCGTTCGTATCCCTCCTTCTGTTGTTTCTTTCCTAGGTGTAAGGCAGCTCCGGCATCTTGTCGCGCTTCTCGGAGAATCCGTATACGGTCATCCACAGCTGGAATACCGCTGCGTTGGCCCACTGGGATATTGAACAGGGGAAGATAGCCGTAGGTTAGCTCGAACGGGGACATGCCTAGCGCAGAATGAGTCCGTGAGTTAATCACAAACTCCGCCATGGGAAGGTGCTCTGCCCAGTCGTCTTGTCGTCGTCCTACATAGAGGCGGATGTATTTCTCTACTTCCTGATTTGCTCGTTCGGTTTGGCCATTGGACTGAGGACGGTATCCGGAGGTTAGATCTGATTTAATTCCTAGCCTAGCGAGAAGGGATCGCATGAGTTTAGCTGCAAACTGGGGTCCGCGGTCGGATTTAAAATGAAGAGGAAGACCATGGAGACGGAAGATCTCTCGGTAGTAAATATCGGCAACGCCTTCGGCTGTGATGGAGCTGGTGCAAGGAATGGCGTGAATTTGTTTTCCATACAAGTCTGTGCAAACCAAGACAGCATCGTAGCCTTGGGAGTTAGGTAGCTGTGTTATCAGGTCAACCCCTACCTCTTCCCATAGACCGGATGGTACATCTAATGGTTGAGTTACGGCCCGTGGGTGTCGCTGGATCTTCTTACGGGCACAAACCTCGCATCCCTCAACGTATTTTTCCACAAAAGAGCGCAACGTAGGCCACCAGAAATGGGTACTGACCAAGTCAAGTGTCCCGTGTAGTCCGGGGTGTCCTGCAGTTGGATGGTCGTGGCATTGACGGAGTACCTCAGTGCGTAGGTCGTCGTTTGCTGGTACGTATACTCGACCTCGGTAGTAGACCAACCCATTGTCTTCTTCCCATTCGGCTATCCCATTGGCCAAGCGCTGTAGTCCGTGCTCTTTGACTGTTTTGAGACCCTCCAATACCTGTGCCTCCCGTTCTGAGGCTTTCCGGATACGATCCTCTAAGGGGTTCTGTAGGATCGAAGCTGCAATTTTTACGAAGTGGCCAGGTTTAAGGACTGTCTGTTGTCGGTTATCATCGCTGTCCGATACATGATGAACTGCCATGCGGGAGAGAGCATCAGCTTGGGTGTTTACTCTGCCAGGGCGGTGGATCATATGAAAGTCAAACCGTGACAGATAGAGGGCCCATCGGGCTTGTCGGCGGGTGAGGTCTTGTGCAGTGCGCCAGAATTCGAGGTTCGAATGGTCCGTAATGATGTCGAATGGTTGAGGGAGTCCTTCTAGAAAGTTCCTCCAATCCTTCAGTGCTTCAATGATAGCAAGCATTTCTCGATCGTAGATTTCGTAGTTCCGTTCCGCTGGCTGCATGGATGCCGATCTGAAGGCTACCGGATGCCATTGGCCATCGTCTTGCTTCTGCATAAGGGCGCCTCCCGTGGCAAAGCCTGATGCGTCTACCTCGATTCGAGTAGGCCTATCTGGTGTCCATAGAGCAAGGATCGGTGCGGAGATGAAGGCTTCTCGAAGGGTATCAAATGCTTTCTGTCGAGTGTCGGTCCAGGTAAAGCTGGTGTCTTTCTTCGTCAGGTCGTTCAGAGGCCGTGCTATTTTGGCAAAATTCCGGATAAAGCGTCGGTAGAAGTTTGCAAATCCCAAGAACCCTCGTAGTTCCCGAAGGTTAGTAGGGACTGGCCAGTCACGAACAGCCGCTACTTTTACCGGATCCATTCTCACCTCCCCTTCTGAGATGATGAGTCCGAGGTATTCAATCTGTTGTTGTTCAAATTCGCATTTTTCGGGTCGTAGGTAGAGGTCGTGCTTTTCTAACCGAGTTAATACTTCCCGTACCATTCGTCGGTGTTCCTCGAGATCGTTACTGAAGATAAGGATGTCATCTAGGTAGACTGCCACCTTGCCGGCTGCAATGAGATCAGCAAATATAGCATTCATAAGTGCTTGGAACGTGGCAGGGGAATTTGTGAGACCAAAGAACATGACCTTAGGCTCGAACAAGCCTCGGGTTGTTGCGAACGCGCCTTTCCATTCATGCCCCTTCTTAATCCGTATGTTATTGTAACCCCAGCGGACATCAAACTTCGTGAAGTATCTGGCTCCCTGAAGTCGGCTAATGATGTCAGCAACTAATGGGAGCGGGTATCGGTTCTTCACAGTGTACTCGTTCAGTTTCCGGTAGTCTTGTATGAAACGGAGTTTCCCATCCTTCTTCTTTACGAAGAAGACCGGTGATGAGATTGGTGATTTTGAGGGGACGATATAGCCTTTCCGTAGGTTTTCTTCTAGGAAACGATCCAACTCCTCCTGCTCATTTAGGGACATGGGATAAATCTTGGTACGCATGGTTGCCGGTGCTCCAGGTACGAGATCAATCGCATGGTCCCAAGGTTGGTGGGCAGGTAATCGTTCGGAGGCGGATTCTGAGAAAACCTTCTTGAAATCATGATACTGCTCAGGGACCATTTCTTCGAAGGTTTTAACGGGTTTGTCTCGGTTGGCTTCCTCTGCTAGCTGCTGGGAGTAAGTGAATCCTGCGGCGCACCAGACTTCCTCCGTCTGTTCCTCTAGAATTCCTGCTTTTACCCATGCCCGGCGAGTTTTATGATTGGCTCGAATTTGGTGTATTGGTGGTTCTTCCACCGCTGCTGATTCACTCGGTTCAAGGGTCGCTTCTAGTGGCACCTCAATGTGGGGGTTTTCTGCGGGAGGTTCCAGTTCCGGGAGTTCGAGGATCGGGGTTTCTGTGTGAGTGGCGGCTAGATGAGAGTACAAGATCTCCTCGTCTGGGACTTCTTCTATCGTTACTCGAGGAGGCTTTACTGAAAGTCGTCCTTTCTCCCAATCAATCTCCGGATTTACCTTCCGTAGCCAGGGGAGTCCAAGGATGATGTCTTCACCTCCTAGGTTGGTGATCAGAAAGTCCATCCATCGCTCTTGATTATCCACTGTGAGTGCTAGACGTGCAAAATGGGTTATCCGTCCAGCTCGGTTAGGTGTTCCATCGATATTAAAAACGTCGATTGGTTTATGGAGGGGTGCACATCTTACATGGTTCCGGGTGACAAAATCTTGGTTTAAAAACAGGGCGGTAGCTCCACAGTCTACCATGGCTGCAGTTGTTATACTGTGATTCCTTCCTCTTAGTCTCGCATGAATTCGGAAATGTGGGGAAGTAGAGTTTAATTCCCGGATCGACGATATTGTACATGATGGGTGCGAGTCATACGAGGAAGTAGCGAACATAACAAACTGATTACGGGGTACTCTCGGTGCAGCCGAAGCGGGTACCCTCTTTAAAAACCCTGTTATCAAGTAATTCCCTTATTTGACCAATCTGATTGGAAAAGTCCTGGTTAGGGGGGCTCGGAGTAGCAGCTACGGGTGCAGGAGCAGATGTTGGGGTCGAGGACGCGATTTGGACGGATTCGTTTGGGAATAGGGAGAATGGCGCGGGTCCCGTAGCGGATATCTGTTGGCGTCGAGGTTGCTGGCGTCGGCCTCGGTCTCGTCCGAGTCCCATGAATTTGTCTTGGCAGACTGCTTCCAGATGTCCTCGGCGTCCACAGTAGTGGCAGG